TCATGTGCTTTTTCTTCAGCTTTATTCTTTAATTTAGGTTTAAATTTCTCATCAAAACAAAAGAAATCAAAAGGTGCGAATTTGTAAATGTTTTTATCATAAAATTGTTTATCAGTAACAATTGCTTGAAATGCTTGAGTGTTAGGAAGATTTGGGTCGCCAGCGATTGCCCAATAAGATGAATCAGTATCACCTTCAATGAAATGAAAACGATTAACATTCATGCATTTATACATAAAATCATAAATGAAAACCAAATACCAGTATTTAGCATTATCTAAAGTGAAGAATGCCTCTTGTAAACATGTTTCACATCTATAAAATCTATCTTTGAGCATCACTTGATACGTATCTTCACCTATTTCTCTTATGTTTTTAAACTTATTTGACATACATGCAACGCGTGCCTTCTGTGCATTCATTATTTTAGTCTTTGCGTAATTTTTGTGTATTCATTGCATCGTAACCATATGATCCATTAAGTGAAATCTTGCAAAATAAACTTTTTCCTTTATTTCCTTCTAATTCAGCCTTTTGTCTTTCATTCATAAATTCGTTCGCAAATTCATTAAAACAAGTGTTTTTTGTAAATGTTAAAATTGATTGAATGTCATCGATGATAAAATGAAATCTGTCTATTAGATACCAAAGATAATAAGAAGAAAATGGTTGATATTGTTGTTGTGTGTTGATGCTAACTGAGTTAATTTTCTCTGTTTCTGGTCAACTGGTAGATTGTTTGATTTCATGTAATTATACATAAAACTGCCAATTGTTTTTTCATCTGTGATAATATCTAAGTTTCTTATTATCGGTAAAAAGTTTATGTAATCATTAATGTATTTTTTCATCAATGTGACCCTTTACTTCAGCCACGAATAAAGTATTTTTCTTCTTAATTATTCCAGTGCTTTTGTTCTTTGTTGCTGTATCACAAATGATAACACCATTCAATCTTCCCGGCATATACATTTTATGGTCAGTATATTGAATGAAATCATGAGGATTAGATGAAAATGATGAAGGATATAATGAATTAAAGTCAACTCCAACGAAATGAGTCATAATGTTGGTGGTGTCCTCATTTGATACAGTTTTAGTTTCTGGATTATATGAAAGTTTATTAATGTGTGTGATTCCTTTAAGATTTACTCTATGTTGAACATTTGATAAACCACCAGTAATTCCATTACGGAGAATGTGATAAGCTTCAACTGAATCTAAAGTCATTGGTAAATTATTTTTTAATGCATAATTTCTTAAATTGATTCTTAAACGTTGAACATCTTCATCTTTATTTGATTTAACGACATTATAACAACACATTAACTGACAATTTTCTTTATTATGTGGTTTTTCATTATCGATTCTATCCAATGTTGGTTTATTTACATATGTAAACGCTTTACCACACATTTTGCATTTAGATGAAAGGATTAAATCGTGATAGTATTGAAAATCATCCGTTGAAACATTATTTTTAGTATCTCTTTTCGCCTTTTCATCTTGTTTCTTATATGAATCAATTTTATATTTCCAATACTTTTTTGTTAATTCAAAACTTGATTCTATCTCTTCCTCAGGATATTTTTCATTAGGATTAAAGTCTTTATATGCTAAAGCGTAACGAATCATTGAAGCATTCGATGATAAAGAAAGATTATGAAGCATGTCAATTTTATAAACAAATGTTTCTTCGATAATTTTATCAATTGGGTCAATCATAATTTCAACGTCTTTATTGCAATAATGAATAAAATATTCTAATCTATTCTCAAAATTTTTAGCATCATTGAGATATATTTGATAATCTAATCGATATAGTTTCTTGAGTTAATGCTGAATAAAATGAATCTTGAGTGAATGGTTCCACTTTATATAATTCTTCTTCGTAATTCTCCCATGTGATGAATTGATAAGGGAAAAAGGATTTAACACGTGATTTATTGTTTCCGAAATCTTGAGTGAATTGGTCTAATGTCCACCCGCTATATAATTTCTGATGTCAATAAATCTCAATTCATATGGAACGTTTGTTTTCTTTACAATGATTTGCTTAAATTGTGAAGATGAACCCAGCATTGATTTTATTTTCCATTTTGCAGTGTTTAAATCACGAAGAATTAAATTTAAATCAAACTTTCCCGAATTAAAACCTATGATATTCACTTTATTAATTCTTCATCTAAAGTCTTTAAATTGCTTCCTTTTGTTTCTCATTTAATGTATTCATTAATTCTTCATATTGTTCAATATTTGATTTAGCAACTAATGAACAGGTTGAAAATAAAAATTCAATCCAATCAGAGATGAACGAATCACTTGATGTTAAGCAAAAATTCCTCGTAAATGTTTTATCACGGTCTACGACCTCGCCGCTTTGCGGCTTTATTTTGACAGTTGATGATACCATAAATGGTTTTAAGTAAGCGTTCAAAGTTGCACATTCAGAAAGTTGAAGTTCTTCTTTAGTCTCTAATGTTTCGAAGTCAAAAGTAATATAATATCTTGTTGGTTTATAATATTCCTGCAAATTATGTGCTAATAGCCATTGATATATCTTCTGTTTCGTGATATGTGGTGCATATGGTTGTTGTGTTTTTGCAATTGAACGTCTTGAATTAATCTTCCATTATTTTCTTTACATTTCTCACAATGTTTTAAAAATCTTCTTTGGTTTTTCCTTTCTGGATCATCACGGATAGAATATACTTCTTCTTTGCAAAAGGGGCAAACTTTATATCCTGTGAGTGCTTCAACGTCTGTAATTCTGTCAGCGTGAAGTTTTCCACATGGACTCTGTGTTAATAAAATATTTACTGTTTCAAATTCTGGATCTATCATTATTGATTCCACTAATGGAAAGTCTACCTTGTTAATGTCTACGTCTTCTGGTTGAGGGTCACAATAATAAAAATCAATATTAACGTTTAACATTCTTGCTAACCTCTCACTTTCTGATGAAATGTCAAATCCTTCATATGCATCTATGGCTTCATTTAAATAACTTCTACGAGTTTTAGGATTAACACCATCAGGAATGTTATAGAAGCGTTTAAATAACCTTCTACCTTCTGCTCTAATTTGATTATCATTCATTTTAGCTGTTCCATTTTTGTTCATTTATGTAAGAATAAAAATTAAAAAATAAATAAAAATAAAGTTTATTTTTTTTAAAGTCCGAGACTCAGAGAGTCCAGGGCTAAAGTCCATAAAATGAATTAAGAACACATAAATTTTTATCATCTGCGACGTGACGAATACATTTTAATTTACTCAAGAATGCGTACCCTGATACATTAAATCTAATTCCTGTCTTATTTAATTTCACAACTTTGAAAAGGAATGTATGAATAGCTATAAAATGATGAGATGATGTTTTATGGGTTGCTTCCATTTTTTCTGAAATAAATGAATAAATATAATGCTTATACGTTTTCATATCTTTTATATTCTTAATAACGAATGGTATAGACCTTTCAACTTCGTCTTCCTTCGGTGCTGTTCTTTCATATGAAACATTATTGGTATCTTCAATAATGAAACCACAATCGCATAAAAATTTATATGTACCAATTGTTTCTTTTGATATTTTATCTAACAAATCAAAAACTTTATCAACACCTGTACATTTATTTAAATAATAATTTGTGTAAATATCATGGTCTTCTTTCTTAATCGTATTTGTTGCATATGTTACATTTTTCAGTGCTTTTTTGAATTTTTCAGAATCAAGAGGAGGTGAAAGTAATATACATGGATAATCTCCATCGTCAATAAATTGTAACTTATGTTTATGAATAAATTTAGTACCTTCTTCTGAAAGTGTTTCGTCTATTTCACCATCTAATAAATTTTGTGTTGATTCTGAGACATAATTTTTATATCTTTCTTCATGAGATTTCTGAACTTCTGATTCTGAAGCTGGGATATTCATTAAACCCTCTACTTCATTTTCATTATATTTTTCAACTTCTCTTAATTCCTTAATTTTTTCATCTATTTCATCTCTTATTTTTTCCAGTCTTTCAATTTCATCATATTCATCATCTTTAATTCGTTCTTCATAATATTCAGGGAAAACATCAGGTTCTTTAGGTTTTTCTTTTTTAGATGTGGGATATAAGAAATTTATAACATCATCTTTATTCATTTTTCCATCATAATCAAACTCATTTAAAAACTCCGCGAATTTTTGACAATTTCTTAAATAATATTTATCAACCTCATAACCTGCCTCCTCTAATATATCCTTTATTTCCCTGTTTGTGAATCCTAATTTTTTAACGTCGTTAGTCTTGACACTCATTTCATACAAAATAAAAATAAATTATTCAGAAATGTAAGACATGAATTTTTAAAGTTTATTTTTTTTATTTCATTATGTATGGGCTGAGTGTAAATGTCTTACAATTTTGAAAATTTTTTAAATCTTGATTTATTCAAAAACGTAAGAATAAAAACCGTAAGAATCATACATTTTTTACTTCATATGTTAAAAAAATGATACAAAATCGTTCAATATTGTATGAATTCTTACGTTTACAAAAAAAGTCACACAACCCGTCATATATACTACTGAGGAAATTGATGGAGTTTCATCACGAAAATGGATGATAATATTACAAATCCTAGGAGTCAGTACTATCCTTGAAAAGTGGTCCAATTTCCTGTCTTATGGCAAGTTGTCAGGTAATTTAAAGTGTCAGCTGTCAATCTGGGATTGTACCGCAGACACTCGCAATTATGTCCATATGCAAGTGTATGTGTTGTGCCAGAATCTCTTCATCTTCAAAAAATGAGGGATATTATCGTTAAAATCGTTCCTAACAGGATAAGGAACCTGTGAAAGATACCCTAACATTAACAAATGCTTCAATAAGGAAAAAATACTTGTTTTGGAAATAAAAGAAAAATATTTTTTTATAATTTTAATAAAATACAAACAAACTTATAAACATTTTGTTCAATATCAATGGCAAACGCATTTACATGCTGTTTCAAGCAGGAATAAAAGAACAAGTAAGTGTTAATTTTGTAATTCTGAGAATTTCGAAACCAAATGCAGAAACATCAGGAACAGAAATGCGGATCTTTCTGATTGGTACATCGCATACAAGAGGGAATGTCTTTATACCATCCTTGGCCTCGTGTTTTGCGTATCTGAAGACTTTTTCGTACAAACATTGATCATTTCCTTCAACGAAGCCTTTTACGACCAACTTCTTGGGAACAGGCTTTGGTATGTCTGAATCGTTGGTCAGTTCACAAGAAATTCCGATTTCTGAGGTAATAATTCCGGCATGAGCTCCAAAATCGATTTCTAAGTAAGGAGTCTCTTCTGTAGATATGCTACAGAAGTAGCCTGTATCTGTGAAGAGCTTGGAAGGTGAAAAATCTTGATCCAGGAGCTCCGAAGATTTTGATCGAATAAGAGTGAACAATTCTGGGTCATAACGGGTATCACTGATTCCCAATGTAGTCATGAACTTAATTGCTTCAACTTCTGGTGGTTTTTCAGATACTTCTCCCTTAGATAAAGCTGTGAGCCAGGAAAGTAAGTACCAGTTACCGAATTTGCGTGGAGTATGATTGGATGTTGATGACAATGACTTGAGAGTGTTCTTTCTTGCATTGAAAGCATCAGAAAGTATAAATCTTTGTATTTTTGATGGAAGCCAGTCACATTGGCTTGATAAGTATATTTTGTATGAATCTTTGAGGGTCCAGTCGATAACAGAAGCTAAGTATTCCTTGTTCTGGTCGTCAAGAACAAGATCATTCGTACAAAACTGATCAATCAACTGAACTTTTTGATTCCTGGTGACGAAATCGAGGCAGGGATCTTTAAGTATCTCGGCAAGTACGCGTGGACTGCAGCAATCAAAAATTTGTTGTATAGATAACAAACTTTCTTCTCCTTTAAGATTTTTGCTGAATTCGTTTGCGAATATAGGGGCTATTTTAACTGCTCCTTCATCCATACCGAACTTAATTAAATTGGAGCAGAGGAATAATGAATTTTCGACACAAAGTGACTTTTCAAAGAGACGAGAGACGATAAATCGAAGTTTTTCAAATTTATAATAAGTGGCACATGCGTAGAGCTGAGCCATGTTCTTGGTTGTGATTGTTAATCTCTCTGAATAGATAAATTGAATAATATCTGTAAAAATATTGTCAGGATTGAATGGCAAGTGAACGATCTGGACTTTTTCATTTGATGGGTTGGCCTGGAAATATTCAAAGAACCATTTACTCTCTTTGGATAATAAAATTTTATGACTTGAGATTTCTGCGTTATCTGGTGATACTAGAATCGTATCAATGAATTGGTCATTGTGTAAAAATGACTCATATATGCGATGAAGCCTATGCTTAACGTTGAACATCTTTTTTTTTGTAAAGTTTGTCACTTTTTGTATAGGTGCAATGAATAGATATTATTATTCAGTATCTACATATGTATATTAAAAGATCATATTAAAGATGAATTATTTCCAATAATTTTATTCCAAAATATCATATTGTTTAAATTTTATATCTCTAATATGTTGTTTTTCTTCAATTATGGCAAAGTATATTGAAATACTACAAGTTTTAATTATGTTCTCATCATCTCATTGATAAATGAAAGACTCAAGGATAAAATGAGAAATTATTAGTCTAAAAGGCATTATATCCAGAATGACAATTAACACAAGGCTCACCTTCGTTATCTGGTTAAGAAGAATCTCATATTAGTCAATTACTCCAGAACAGATGATAACTTGAATAAGATTATGTATTTTTAAGATTGATTTTCCAACTTTTGTGGGGCAATATGCACATGTTGGTATCAAGAATGAATGTCATTCTTTTTCAAATTGTCACTTTTTTGAATTTGATTTTATGGCTGATTTTAACGATTTAATCGCTAAATACATCAGCCTTGAAGAAAATGTATCCATTATGATTCCTATTAACACTATGGTAGGAGATTCTTCGATATCTGATTTTGCTACAACTGATTCTGCGTTTTTCACCGCTCATTCTTTTGATACAATCAATAATAACATGTTCGAAACAAATGCAATTTCACAGTTTAACAGTTCGTCACTAAATACTGAAGCAGATCTTTCAATTTTCATAGATGCACTTAATAAGTCAAGTTCATCCAATAAAAAGAGAGTTCGTACATCTCCACCGATATCATCTGGCTTACCACTTCAATTCTTCAAAGATACACAAGTTCAGCCAACTCCTCCATTTCATTCTCCAGAAAACACACCAACAATCACTGCTTCAGAGACATCAAATCCAAATTTAGCTACTGTACTTGCTACATGCGCTGCGGATTCAGTTATTGTCTTACCTTCAGGCATTTATCAGCAAAAATACGTAATAACCAAAAACATTACTCTCCGTGGTGATGGTGAAGTCATCTTTGATAGCCCATCTCCATCCTTCACAATCAGCTCAGGAGACGTCATTTTGGAGAATATCGCGATTAGACACGGAAGAATTGACGTTGCAAGCGCTAGATTACAACTCACGAACTGCCAGATCAATGCTACAATCAATGCCTCCGCTACTACTCGCTTAAATCTACAGGGTTGTGTTTTATCTCAATCAGAAGATTTCAACATCATATTGAACCGTTCTACAGCCACAATTAACGATACAAATATTATCAACAAAGGTTTGTCAATACAAGAAAAGTCCGCTCTTACGGTTAATAAATGCAAGATTGAAAATATTGTTGAAAATGCCATTCTCGCTGACTCTAGTATATGCAAAGTTACGGAATCTTACATAGGAAACTGCACAAAATCATGTGTTCTTGTAAAGAAAGACTCCGAAGTCTCAATTTTCGATTCTCATATTTATGATGCAGAAAAAGCCAATTTAGTCGAAGCAACTGACGGCGGTATCCTCAAAGTTAAGAATTGTACGCTTAATGGTGAATGTACTAACTCTATTTCCTCTTCAATTGGCGCATCAGTTTTATGTGAGAACTTAGAGCTAAGAAGGAACGTTTCCTCTACTTCCGGTGGCTTCATTGAACTCAGGCAATGCCAACTCACCACAGCAGTTATCGAAAATGCCAGGTTCACCGCTATCGGATGCGATATCTTTTCAACAGAGAGCTGTGGCCTTGCAACGGTCGGCCAATGCGACATAGTTCTTGATCAGACAGTCATCCACAACTGCAGATCGAACGGAGCCGAGTTTTCGGAGTTATCTGCAGTCACGGCAACGAATTGCAAATTCCTTGCGAACAGCGGAGGCGGAGTCTCTGTTTCCTCAACATCCGCTATGTTCTCACACTGTCTATTTGCAGGAAACGCCCTTGTCGGAGCCGAAATTGTTGGAGAAACAGCTGCTCCAATTTTCGACGAGTCAGAATTTTCCGAAAACGCCGCAGTTGAAGCCACTGTTTTCCAGGGAACAGAGCCGCGCTTCATCAACTGCAAGTTCACTAAGAGCGAGCACCTCTGCACATCAGTCATCGGCGCAAATCCACAGTACAAAGGCTGTTTCTTCAGGGGATATCAAGACGCCGCTGTCGAAATTGCCGAAGCAGGAACTCCTTCTTTCGAGAACTGCACGTTCGAGCAGGGCAATGGAATGTGCTGCCAGATACACGATGAGTCAACTGTATCTGTTTTCGAGCACTGCAACTTCAGAGATAACGCGAAAGCTTCTGCAATTTTAATTTTCCAAAAAGCAGAAGCAATTTTCGAATCGTGTAATTTCTCTGGTTCTGGTTATTGCCACGCTGAAATAAGGAATGACGCGCACTGCAAGTTCACTGGCTGCGTGCTAGCTGAGTGCGCAAGTGGTGTTGGAACTCACATCCACTCTTCTGGTGCAGCGGAATTCGTCAGAACAACTATCAAAGATATTGAAAAAGTTGGAATTTTCATTGGTCCAAGAGGCCGCGTTTCAATGAATGACTGCGAAATATTGAACTGCGGAGAGGTTGGATTGGCTTCTGAAACAGGTTCTTCGCTCCAGGCAACTGGCTGCACATTCAGAAACAACGGACACGTCGGAATTCAGGCTGACGGAGGAAACATCAACGTAGAACAGTGTGTCTTCGAAGAACACTCTGATTTCGGTATCTATTCAACTGCTTTGGCTACTGTGAAACAGAAAGAAAACAAGTTCATTGATAACTCAAAAGGGGATACTCAAATAGGTTGAAATAAAACACTTGATATATTTATGAATTTATTGATTTTTTATATTGATTATCTGATTTTAAAATTTTTGAACTCTAAAAACAATATATAGAAGAGATATTATTTGATGACTATGTGGATCGTTTTACATGTAAGAAATGATTTATCCAATTATATTTCAACTACTTTCTATTGGAGTGGATAAAAAAGTATGGCGTGCAATGAGTGTGTTTCTTTCAAGCTTACATCATCTAAAGTAAAAATATACTTGACTATGTATGATTGACAAAAAAATGATCTTATAATTGTTGAATCAATAATACATGTTTATAAAAATGTTAAAACAGTTAAGCAGAACAAATATTCTCTTCTTTTCATGCACTTATCTTCGGCGAATATGGCGAAAAAATATATCATGGTATGGATTAATGAATTCTGTTTTTTTAGGAGGTAGCAGCAAAGTTATTTTGGCTACGCCATGTCCTAAATGGCCAATACTAAAGGAACCATCCCATTCTGGTAGGTTCTCGTTACCTGGAATCAAATTTGTTTTGGATAGCATGAATTTTTTATCCAAATTATATTGGAAACTTGGAGGCAAAGTATAATTGTAAACGAAACCTGAACCACCTCCTGAACCTCCCATTTCATATGTATTTGGTTCTGAAGCCGCACCTCCAAACCAACCACCACCTGCACCACCTCCGCGGTAGCTGTTATTACCACCATATCCAAAATCACCGGAATGAGCTCTGAAGCTGCATGAACCTGCAGAATTTTGAGTTCCACCATTCATTGCATAAAAATCAACTGATTCACCATTAAATCCTCCACCTGATCCTCCTGGATTCTGTGAATCTAGTGATATTGTGCCACCAGACCCACCACCACCAGCTACTATCACTCTGGAATAAAGATCATCATTTCCAATGCGAATATCAGTCGCACCTTCACCACCATTTTGCACAGTTCCATTTGGGTTGATATTCATCCCTCCTCCATTATAACCACCATAAACTATCTTCTTTTCAGTATCATTTCTTCTTGGAGGAGAACCTCCTAAATGGATGAATATTTTTGTAGGATATGGTATATTAATTATTCCCTTTGCATATCCTCCTCTTCCAGGATTTGCTGCCAAAGATGAGTACACCATACCACCTTCTGCTCCCCAGACTTCTAGCCTGTACTTTCCATTTGGAAGGATTCCTTCATATGATGTGCAATGAGAATAATTGGTGCATGGAAAATAAAAGATAAAACATGTTTCATTCGAGGAAATGTTTGGGAAACCAGCTGTATAATCAGTTAAATTGAAGTCTATAGCTACTGCGTGGACTATGATGATTAACAAAGCAATCATTTTTATGAAGAAAAATTCACATTGTTTTGTTAATTGTGGTTAATTCAATTTTCAATGCGACTCAGAAAATTTTAAACCACATAATATTAATATAAATACTATAATAAATAAAATATTAGAAGAACAAAAATTTTTCAGAGAAAAATTGTCAGACTGTGAAAAAAATTGAGAAGTCAAGATTTTAAAGAAAAATTTGAATTAAATTTTGTTCATAATGCTATATTAATGTAATCCAATCGTAGTACAATAATTAATCCTTAACAACGTATTCCCTTCAATAATGAGATTTAAAAAAAATATCGCGCTTCGACAAAATTAATATGAAATTCATTAATAGCTATGCCCAGAGATGATGTTTTCATCATTTGCGCTTGCATTTGAATGACCGAATATCAACGTTAAGGCAAAATATGATTTACGTGTTATCGGTATATTCAATAGCATTCTTAAAACGATTGAAAACTTACCGATGTATTCAAATTCAGTAATTTTCCATCGAAAAATTGAAGGGAAAAAATGCATTTCCGATACGAATCGATCTAATTTCGCAATTTACAACATATCCCTGAGAAGACGCGATAATCAGCGTCTTGAGTGTTGAGACTTACTGGTTGTTATTATCAGTTGGAAAAAACATTGTTTTGTAAAAATCATGGTTCGAATCAAATTTGGCGGGGCGGCGACAAATTTGCCCAGCCAGTAAAGTATTCAATTTTTTTGCATTTTTTTTTAAAGCTTCTTAACTTAAATCATGGAATGTCTCAAAGACAAAAGTAGCATACAGCATGTAAAGCTAAAGAAAGATAATCATAATTAATACCTTAATTTTTAATATTACGCATTTTTAGGTGCAAAATTTAAAAACATTCTAATACAATAGAGCAGTTTCCAAAAGTAGCATACAGCATGTAAAGCTAAAGAAAGATAATCATAATTAATACCTTTAAAGTTTAAAATCTTGATTTTTTTTAAAATCAAATATTTATAACTTTAATACATACAGTTAGTATGGTTATCTTGGGTACTGTGGCACTGCGTTCCACCTTACCCAACTTAACCTTAAATATTTACAAAACCATTAACATATATTTTACAACACAAACGACAACACCAACTTAACCTTAAATATTTACAAAGCCGCCAACCACTTCACTAACGAACTCACTAATGTAAAAAAATAAACGTTCTCACTATCGTTCTCACTAACGACTTCACTAATGTTCTCATAAATTTTCCTCAATATCTTCATCATCAGTGTTAACCCTATTGTAGTCATACTTGAAGCCATAAACTTTCTCTAACTTCTTAACGTACAATTTACATAACTTACCTTCGTCATCATATGGTTTAATGATATAACTATTTCTATCTTTATACACAGTCAATGAAAAGTCAACTGGTCTCGGATGTATTTGAAAGAACATGTTATGCTCAGGAAGGAAGAATAAATGTTTAAATGTATGTTTGTTATATTTTTCGATTTGTATGAGTTGCTTTTGTTCTGTCATTTACATCCAAATAAAAATTTTCATTAAAATAAAAAATAAACTTTAAAATTAATGATATCACCACCCTCACACGTATGAAAACATAGCGCAAAAATAAATTTAGGTGAAGTGGTGAGATGTCACCTCTTTTTTCACCTGTTTTTTCACCCACTTGAATTCATTGCTTTATAACTCTCTTCCTTTCTCCAACTCTTCTAACTTCTTCTTAAGTTCAGCAATGTTGTCCTCATGAAGTTTAATCTTCCTTAATATACCTTCTCTATCTAATGGTTGCTTTATCTTTCTAAACTGAACTCTACCATCCTTCATAGTATGAACGTAAAAACCTTCTGGAACCGCTCCTGATTTAATGTATTCTACCAAAAACTTTTGTTTCATTGCTTCAGTGACTTTAGTCGTCATTTCAATCAAATAAAAATGTTCAAATAAAATAAAAATAACGTTATTTTTTCAGTAAGGAAACGCAGGAGTTTTACGATTTATTTGAGGAGTAGGTTCTGGTTTAAATGTTGGAGTCGGTTTAGGAGTTGACTTTTGAACAGGAGTTTGTACTTTCATAGGTTCAGGAGTCATTGAAGGTGTTGTTTGTGATGGTGTCGGAGTTTGTTTAACTTCAGCTACTTCAGTATTATTTACAACATTTGCTTTATTTCTTTTCAACATCATAACTGCTCCTGCTGTAGCTAGCAAACCTAGTGGGAGACCATATTTTATATAAGGACTTGACCAAATGCTATTTTTGACAGGAGCTGGTGGAACACCTAACCTTGGTGAGACTGCTCTTTGCCATTGTGCAGCTCGTAAGAAATATTCAATAGGTGCTCCATAATCGTTTGGTAAAGTTTGTTTCATAGATGGTGAAGGTTCACGAGAGCTTGATGAAGAACTCATTTATAAGCTTTAAAAATAAACGTTCATCCTTTATTCCTCACTGTCGTCAGTTGCTAAGTTATAGTCGTCAAGTCTTATTATTGGTATGCCTGACTGTCTTACTTGTATTGCAAAGCAACAATCCCTCATAAATCCAATAAGTGGCTTTGGTACATTTTCAGTTGCTAGTTCAATAGGTCCTTTAACAGACAATTTGTATGTTATTGGAGCAGTAGATGTTTGACCTTGCTGGAAGCAAAAGTCCACTTCTGTTGGAAAACCACATAAGAAATGTGTGTTGTCATAGCTATCCCATTTATGTTCCACACTACCATCATCCACCAATGACCTCATAACATCTTCATTAAATCCTATCATATCATTGTTTGTATTGCAAGCGTTCGCAACCATTTCATAAAATACAGGTCCATATGATTTTTCGGTTCTGCAGGCATATTTCCATAAGCTCCCATGGAAAGCTGAAGATATTTAAACTTAGGGTTCTCAAAATTAACATAATAGTTGTCTTTCTTTCTAAATAGTGCCCAAATACTTTTAACATTAATAGGCGTATAAGCTGCTGTAAATGTTGCACTTGAACTATCTGTATTCTTTGAGAATGAACCATCCATAGGAATCCAATCCATAACTTTAACAGGAAAACATAAAGCCTCGTTTGTATAATGTTCTACAAGTTCTGTATAAATGTTAGGGTCTAAAGAGAATGACTTTGGATGAATGAAACATTCATTAAAATCCATCTTTGTTCGAAATAGTTGCTGGGTTACAGTTGTAATAGTAACTGTTCCACTAGCTTCTACTGCCTTCGTTATCATAGTGAATGGTTCATTCCATGGAACAAATTTATTTGTCGGTGGATTTGAATCTGAAGCAAATGCAACTTTAAGAGTTGGATTGAAAGCAATGATATCATTTACAGATATAGATGTGCATTGTAAGGCGTCGCTACTGAACTTTACTTTAAGCTGAATGTTTCCTGCAAAAGCTGGAATAAATCGAATAGCTTCTAATGGAAGGAATCTTCTAACAGGAATTCTTAAACGAAGCTTAAAATCAAATGATTTTCCTGCTGTAATTGGACCACTAACAATTTGTCCTGTTCTGCATGTTCCCGAATGACTCCATACATCTTCATGTCGAGTCTTTGAGAAAACATCTACTTTCTTTATTTGTTCGGTAGTTTGTGAGTTTGAAGTTATATATGCTTCTTCTCTTGCGTTGTCTTGAGAATATACGATACGACCATTTGCAAGGATTTGATATCCAGCAACTGCATAGAAAGCGTCATCGAAACCAATCCAAAATCCTGGTGGGTTTGTTTTATTGGAACCTGAACCAATTTCTTTATCTGCAATAAATTGACCTTCCATTTTATACGTAATGAATGTATTGTAAAGGTCCAACATATTTTCACCAGGAGGTGAGAGATTGAATGTTACCCATGTGTTATCTTTAGCAGTTCCAGGTTGTGATGGAATCTTTGCGTCAGAATATTTTCTATTAGTGTCACCAATTTGAACTGCATTGTCTATGATATCGAAATATGAGCGAATCTGATGAATATGCTCTGCTGGAGTAAATTCGTTTAGCTGTTCGTTCTGCATGTATTTACTTCAGATAAAAATATCTATTTACTTCATTATTCTCACTCTTCTTCTTGGTATTCGTGGTGGAAGTTGTTTCTTGACATTTTCAATGAACTGTACATTCTCTTTTGTCTCAACTTCTTTCACTGGCGGGTCAGGGTTCTTTGACTCGGTTTGTTTTTCAATGAAATTCACGAACTTTGCAATAAGCTCTTGGTTCGTTATTGAAAGTACATCTGGCTTCTTTTCTTCTGGTTCTATTGACTTTTCAGTTTGAACAGAAGGTTTTATATGGGCTTCGTGGACTTCACCCTTGCCATGCACCTTAATGTTGTCGCTCTCTGCATTCGCTAATGGTACCTTTCTTTTTCTTACGTATATTTTACCATCTTTACTCTGACTTACGTAATAGAAAGGATGTTGTATTCCTCTTGCGTCATTTAATATAATAGACTCTCGCTCTGATTTTGACAAGCTCATTTTACATCGGTTAAAGTTTTAATTTAGTTTTTTATCTGCAGTCAAATGACTCAGACAAGCCCTACGGACAAGACCCAAGGTGTCATAGATGTTGAAGCATTGAAGAAAGAAATTCGCGAGCAAATTTTATCCGAACTGAAGGAACAAAAACAAGAACAAAAGCCAGAGAGACCAAAGAGAAAACTTAGTGAAAAACAACTAGCTGCATTAGCTGCTGGAAGACAGAAGAACCCACGTTTGCTGGCGAAAAAAGCTAGAGAAGAAGCTGAAGCAAAAGCTAAAGAAGCTGAAGCAAAGAAAGAGTAAATGGTTTATTTTTATCCGAACTAAATGTATAGACAAATACCTTTATCTGTTGCGTTCAGTAGTGAAAACCCTGACGTCAAAATAAAGGGGAACAGAGTAACGTTTAAGTTTCCAACAGACTGGATTGTGAACATAAATGAAGAGAAGTACATTGGCATAACATCTATGTATATAACACGTGCTTTCAGAAAGGTTGACTTTATACTTCAAGTCGAGATAGAAAATGACGAACAGTCTTTAAGCGCCCAAAACATTCACATATACAAATACTTTAAAGACGATACAACATTGTTGCAATGTATGATTTCATTTAATGAGATGTTCGAGAAAAAGTTCAACATTGAAGTACAAACTTTACAGCCTTTACGTGAGTTTCTTGCACAACTGAAAGAAGAAGGTAGTCAGCCACAACTTATAGACTTTCATTATGAATTTAATGAAAATGAAGATGGAACACATGACTGTCAGTTTGTTGTATTCTCACCATTCAATGAAGTCGCTAAAGAGAAAGAAAATCCATTACATATAAGATTTCAAATCTCTGAACCAAGTGATGATTTCAAGAATGTTTTCAATTATGATGCAATGCTTCCGAGGAAAAATGAATTTTCAAAGATTGTAACACCTGGCATTTGGGATAGAAAGCAAGCTATATTATATTCAAACTTAAGTAAAGGAGTTGAAAATGAGTTCATTGGTCATACAAGAACTTCACCACTTCCTAACCCTAAATACTATAAATTAACTGGCTTCAATCGTGAGTTTTGGATAGACATGTTCTCCACTCATGACCATAAATGTCCAGTGTTCTTACCTCCAGACCATAAGGACTGTCTCTACATTGAAGCACAACTCTTAAACTCTACCATCGCAGTATTGTAAAATCTACGCTAGCTTTATTTTTATCACGAATGACCTCATTCATGACCTCATTCATGACCTCATTGCTGACAAAAATAAGCCGCTAGCGGCAAGGGCGAAGCCCATGACCTCAGAACTTCAACTTACGAATAAAGCTTGTTTTAGTCGTTATTGAAAAGTTGAACTTTTCAGCAAAGCAAGGTTGACATGACTTACATAAGTCGAATGCAATCTCTTGACCATCATGAAGTGCTTTGTAAAGTTTCATTAAACTGAACTCAGAGTCTTTGTCATATGTTCCAACAGGTATGTGAATGTTCTTATCTTCATTGTAATAGCATTGTATAGCTTCAGGAAACATTTCATTAGCGGTTAAAGCAATAACATCTTGCTTCACGCCTTTCATTCTGCAGTGAAATGCAACTTCATTTAAATCGTTAGTGAGTAAGTCTATGTAGGTCTTCTTTCCACAGAAAATACTTTTATAAGCTAAACTTTGTTTTCCAGGTGTTATTTCTGCAAAGTCGCTATGAAATTGACCAAGGTTCTTTCCTATAAGTTCGCGACCATATCTCTTCTTAAACTCTGCTGCAAGCTTTGGGATGTCTTCATTATATAAGTGCATACTGTCGGTATCCTGGTAAAATATTTGAAGTCCCATATCCTCTGCAGTACAGAATACTTCATTCATAATACGTTTTGACATAGACAGAATATTAACACCAAGTGGACAGAAGTTAAAGTGTCTGCAAATGCTTTTCGTTAGCTTGAAAATAGTTTTATCTGAACCATCCAAACCTTCGAACTTCACTATATGGTTGTAATTTCTTATAGCATATCTTATAGCATCTTTGTCATTTACTATGGTTATTTTTGACTCAATAGGAGATAGAATAGTTTTGCCATAAATGCTGTTCAGAATGAGTTTTATAATTTCTTGTAAGGGGTTTCCTTCTTTCTTATACTTTAACCTTAACTCAAACAACTTCTTTACTTCATCTCTTATTCTCATATCTCTGTTTCCATCGTAATAGTATCCTTGCAACACTTCACATTTGACACCTTGATATTTTATGAGGTCTTGTAATGTTATATGGTCAACATACATGAGACAGCAAGTGTTTGAACTTCTTGGAACGTTAAGTTCTGGATTTAGTTCAGGGTCGCAAACTATTAAATGAAAGTGTCTGGGTATACCAATCTCTGTTATCTTAATGAGAACAAAGAAGCCAGACATAAACTTTTCACCAATGGGTTCCTTTTGGTCATCATCGAATAAATGTCTCATGAGATACTCTGTGCTTAGCATCTCATCCTTCAATACTTTTGGAATTCCTTCTAAAGTATAAAGTCTTGCTATAGCTGAAGGATATAATGAAACAGTGTCGAAGTCAGCAATGAGTTTCTTTTTGCTCTTTTGTTTCATGTTATCTGACAACATACATCTTCCACCTTGAATGCATCTCGAAATAAATTCTCTTGGTTTATTTGAGAGGTCATAAAGATTTCCATTCGGGAAGTATACTCTGTTCTCAAACAATTTGTTAGCAATAGAACAAATACTAACGTAGTCATAAACGTTTAAATCAAACTCTTTCAATAAGTCATTGCGGAACTTTACAAAACCTTCTCTTAAAATTCTTACATCTTGTTTGCAGTAAAACGTGCTATATTTTTCTAAGTCGAAGTGGTTTTCATCTATTCTGCAACCTTTGATGGAATCTATGTTCTTCATAAATGTATCTGCATCATGGATAAACTTACATGCTTCAGAAATGACACCAGTTCTGTTGTCATTTGCTAACAAAACACTGCTGTAGTAGTTATATGGAAATACTTCTTTCGGTCCTGTTTGTAAGTTAAACATAGCAGGAAATAGTTTAAGCTTCTTATTTATAACACTGTAAGAGTCTTTTATAATAATTGCCCTTCCTTTATATAAACCAGTTATTTGCATTGTTCGTGAACCTTTAATGATGGGAGTTCCTTTCACTTCTGTCATGTGTCTTAAGATGAAGTTTATGTCATAACTGAGGTTGTGAAAATATATTAAACTCTTGTCAGGAAGTCTTTCCAAAAATTCTGTTGCACAGTTTTGACCCCAAATGCTTTCACTAACTGAACCATCTTCACTGTCATAACAGATGTTAAAAGCTTTATGAAAGCCATCCGTACTACACTCAAAGTCAGCAAAGAAAACGTGCTCAGGTATGAATTTACATTTAGCTTTATTTACTTCTTTTGACTCTGCTTTCTTCTTCAGTTGTACACAATACTTTGGAGCATATGTCAAATCTTTAAATGGTGCAAGGTTCTGTTTATATAAGTCAGTAGTATATGTGAAAAGTTCTCCATAAGAAATAGGTTCGAAATATTTGCACTCCCACAATGTTTTCATAACATCCCATAACGGTGTTGTTCTATCATAACGAACTACATATTTATCTTCTCTCTTTGTATAAATCTTCATCTGTTTCTCAATGTTCATTCCACCACAAGCTTTGAGAATTTCTTTATAGTTTCGAATGAAGTATGTTGTCATTGGTAATCTTTCATTTAGCATGTAGTGGTCTTCAACAAGAAGTAAGTCAATAGTTCTAACAGTTTCGCATTCTTTTGGTATATATCTCTTTATTTCATTATGTCTTGACTCATTGAAATAACCAATGGTAACATTAAATGATATACCTGTTGCGTCAGAAATTTCTTGTACTTTACTTTGAGGAAAGTCTCTAACACGAATGACTTCTCTCATGTGGTCAATAGTTTCTTCATTTACTCCAGCCTGAATGCAAGCATAAACGAAACAATTGTCTCTGTCATAAGTGTTGCAGTTCTTTTGTTCAGTTCATTGAAGATTTGGTAGCGTTCAAGATTTATAGGTAATGTGCAAAGATACTTCCATAACTGACCGCTTCTCTTCTTATAAAACTTCTTTTCACCATTATCTTTCCAAAAGCTTTCTATAAGTGCTGGGTTTCCTGTTTGCTTAAGAGCTTCCAAAATGGCTTTCTGGTCATTTGTCAGTGTGCTTTCATCTCTATATGGTCTCTTTTTTGGTTTGCCTTTCTTTACATCTGACATCGTTAAGCCTTCATATTCTGTTAAATCATACATCTTTATTTCAGTAAGATTCTTTATGTTTGTCAAGAAGAAGTCATAGTGCATTTCAACAATACCTGCAGCATTTGCTTCTATCTCTGATATAAAGTTCTCCTTCAAGAGCTGATGTAGTAATGTTCCAATATTATTGAGGTTTAACGTAGAACATTCATACTTTCCACCAAGTTTATAACATACCATCCATCTCTGTTGTGAGTTTATTTTAATTTTCTCTAAGAGTCTCATGAAAACCTTACCGAAATGTTTGTGTAAATATCTCTGTTTGGTTCATCTAAAGCTTCGATGTTAAAGTCAATGAGTCTATTGCCTGACTTCACATTCCTCTTCCTATTTTCTTCATCTTTCTTTAACCATCTCTCACCTTCTTTTGGTTTGTCGTCAATGGAACGAATGACATTATTAGCTTTGCGAACTTGTTCTATAGCACTTTTAAACATCTCTCTTCTCTGTTGTTTCAGTGTGTCATCTCTCTTTCGTGTTTCACCAACGTTTGCATTTGTTATGTCAAACATTTCTCTTCTTACTTCATGAGGTACTGAACGTCTATGATATAAGTCAATAGCAATGTCATTTAAAGGAAATGCTCTTGCATGGACTTCGTCCTCGCCGCGTTGCGGCTTTATGAACTCATGAATTCTATCATAACTTATTGCACCATTATAGTCTTTAATGAAGTCAGCGAGTGCCTTTTTGTTTGTCGCGTAATGCTTTGCAACATCTATATTAGCTTCTGTAAGAAGTTGTTTTATTTCCGAGTGTTCTAACTTAGACAACTTCCGATACATCTTTAGTAGGAAATAAAAAAATATTTTTTGAAAAAATAAACTTAGAAAAATTATTTCTTTCTATATTTGCCATTCCGAACTTCGAAAAGATGTTTTATACCAGCATAGAATTTTTCTCTAGAGCTTGGTCTTATATTGTTTTCATGACAATATTTTCTATATTCTTCATATAAAGCCTTTTTTTCATACATTTTATAAGGACAATCTAACCAGAATAGTGCATATCCAGTTTCGTTATCTAGGTCTCTATATGTTTCTTCTGTTTGTAGAATTTCGCTTTCTTCTATTTGTAGAATTTCGCTTTCTCTATTTAGTTCTATGTCTATATATTGTGGCTTAAAAGGATGTGGGCAAGAAGGGTCTGGCGCTATGTAAAAAGTTAATTTTTCTGTCATCTTTTTATCGGATAAAAAATATTTTTTGAAAAATTAGATTACATTTTTTTAAGTTATTTTTCAAAATAATTTAATATTTTTATTTTAATGAAACACATGCAAGATTGCAAGTTCTTTTCATACAATGCTCTCGCTACTGCCATCAAGAATGAGTTCAATGGTTCTGCAAACGTTAATGTTATCTTTAACAAGAAGTTTGTGAAAGAATCTAAGTTTGGTCAGTATGTCAGACCATTAGCTATCGTCATTGACCGCAAACGTTATACTTCACAAGAGTTAGCAGTAGTTTTGAAACAAAAGGGTTTCTTCGTGAATGTCAAAGATACTCATTATACTGTTATAAAGAACTCTAACGTTGACTTCTTCAGTATTGCTATGAATCTTTCCGAACAGAAAGAATATAAGAAGGGTGAAACATCTGTGAAATATTATCCTTCATCTCTGAAGACAATAACGAACAAAGATGTTATACAAAAGTTCTTACCAAAGGTTGAAGAAGCTTCTATTGACATTGACGAAGGAAGTGAAATGGTTGAAGAAATTGACCCTGAAGCTATTTAACCAAAAATATATTTTTGGTGAAGAGGTGAGATGTCACCTGTTTTCTCACCTCTTTTTTCACCTCATTCTCTCTTCGTTAATGTTGTCGTGACTTCTTCGTTAATGTTGTCGTGACTTCATTCTTCCTCTTTGAAGTTATCGAAATATTCTGTTATTTTTTCCTTCAGTAATGGTAAGTCTTCTTTGAAGGTAAGTATTGTGCAACCTTTGATGTCATAGTGTGTTTGAGGAAGAGTATTTTTGACAATTTCTTTTATTTGCTCATTCGGTGTCATTGAAATCGGTAAGTTTTCACGATAGAACCAGTTTCTGTCAGATTTATATATTTTAGCAAGGTCGTAAAAGCTTTTGTTGTTTCTTCTGACTAAATGCAACATAACCATATCTTTATCTTCTTCTTTCTCCAACTCTTCAGTATATATCATATACTTATAACTCTTTTCCTTTCCTTTTGGTACTGAACGCGGTATTCTTTTCTGTATGCTTTTGTCTTTGGATTCAATGACTTCATCTTTTGCTTGAAGTTTCTTTCCATCTCTCCACGTTCTGCTTTATATAGTTCATCTAACATCATGAAAATATAACAAGCATAACGAGGTGAAGCCCACATTGCTACAGCATTTACTAAAAGTCTATGAACATAATAACCTTTCAAACCAGGAGCCAAATTCTTGCGATTTTCGTACGGAATCTCTTCCCTCGGTTTTCCGAGGGAAGCAATCATATGAGGAAATTCTTCTAAAAGTTCTTTTGCCTGTTGGTTTTCAAACCAATGATATGCTTGCTTTGTAGAACGAAGAGCATTCATTATACTTTGCATTTGGTACATGTCGTCTTTGACAGAACGAATGAGTCTCAATTGTTTGTTATACTGTATGTACTCATATTCTTCATTTATGACTTCATGAACGATAGCAGTTGTTGTGTTCTCTAATGTTGACATATCTGTCTTTACATACAGGATAAAAAAATAAATAAAATAAAAACTAACTTTATTTTTTCTGTGTTAAACACTATTTCTTCACAACATTAAATTTTATCCTGTATGAAATGACTTTAAAAAGATTATTGACTGACTTCGAATACTATCTCATTGACGCACTGACAGACCCTCAAAACTGTGTTGAAAGTTCTTTAAGCTTTAAGATTGAAGGTACGACGCATTTTGTCTTCACTTACGTATTGAAAGAATATGACCGTTATCATAACGAAGTGAATCAAACACTAATAAAATTTGTAGATAAAAAATTGGTTAACAATGAATATTTTAAACGTGAAGACCCAAACACTGCTGGAGATGATGAAGAATACAGACAAGTTATTGAAAAAAATAACGCAAGATTAGATGCAATAGAAAAGAAGTTTAATGAATGTCTTACAAACACGTATGAATATCTTATGCAGTGGGAAGCCAGATGGAAATAAATTTACGTCAAATATGCAATTTATAAAATCTTATGTCGACAGGCTACGTAGCACAGTGGTCTAAGGTGGTGTTATGGAGGGGTCAGGGTCTGTGGTTCGAACCGCGACAGCGCCGTATTTTCTTATTTTCTTTATTTGTCTTGTTTGTCGTGAATAAAAAGTGTCATAAAAGTGCTCTATCTTCCACGGGAATAAATAAAAAATTTACTTTATTTCTTCTTTATTTCTTTGTTCCCGTGGAAGAAGGGTTTTTTCTGTTTTTCTCAGCCGAAATCAATGATTTTTTCATTTTTGGAATCCTTAGCAAATGAGGAATCTTTTCTCTCGTGGAAGCTTTGAACAAAAATAAGCCGCTAGCGGCAAGGGCGAAGCCCATGTTTAGGTGAAGAGGTGAGATGTCACCTGTTTTTTCACCTAATTTCTCACCTCTTGAATTTTCGTGAATTTCCTTATGAAAGAAAATAACGCTAATTTTATTTTTATTTATTTTTTATTTTGTATAAAAGATATGATTTCAACAATAGGTTCTACAACAATTCAAGCCGCGAACGGCGGGACTCTGTCCACAAAAACTTCACCAAACTCGTTAGTCATGAATCCAACATCTATGTTAGTAGAGATGAAAAGCTTCATTCCTTCTTCATATACTTTCGAAACAGAAATCCAGA